GTATATACGGAACCACCACCACTCTTTTTTTGTCGATATCACGTGCAGCTTTTTCGCAACCTTTTACTTTTTTTATCAGAGTTCCTACCACTGATCTCTATGACAATTGCTGGATCGCGCTTCCCCGCTTGTTCGCTGCAGCGCAAGTGAAGCCACCGAACTTCACTCGCTCGGGATACGATTTGCCGTTTTTGCTAGCCTTTGCTGCGGTTTTCCAGCGTGCTGTGGATACGTTTTCTACTCGTTCGTCGTCATTCGCCGAAGAAGTTTTTTGAAGACTCTGTGTATTGTTGAGACTTGCCGTTGTGAACACGTGGAAAATTTTACGAAAGTGCAGTGTCGCAGGAAAAAGGCACAACTCGTCGAAAGGAAGGGCTGGCGGCGTGTTCAAAGCTTCCTTGGCACGCCGAAGTGCCGTGTCTCTGTGCCTTCGCACGCTTGGATACCGACCAAGAACCGACGCCGTGTGTATGTGTCTAGCGAGTGCAATGTGCGTAAAGCTGTTCGTGCCTCTGGATCAGCGTCTTTTCCCCTCGCGGTTTAGGAACGAGCTTAATCCAGCGTCCACTAGCGACGGAAGATGGGGGGAAGGTACGTCTTTTTTTCGTCCTTAGACGATTTACACAATACCGTGCACAACAGCTCCTCATCACTGATCAGTACTGGCTTATTATCAACCTACTTAATTGCACTTGACGTTTGAGCGCGGCTCGCCTAATTGTAATTGGTCAGCAGATTGCACACGACCATATCGGCCGCGCTTCAAAGATTTTCATTCTCGCCGTCTTGTACTTTTGCTTTCGAAAACCCCCCTGGCTCCACAACGTTGCCCTATTCGTGCTCCCACGGAATCTATTAGAGTAGATTTGGGACATAGCCATGGTTAATATAGTACATAAGAACACGTACAGATCTCTCCCTTTTATTGATAGCAACTCACCGGAACAGCTGGACGATCCAGAACTCCGTGGCCGATATATATAAATGATCTAAAGGCTTCTACACGCGACACACGTTCAGAACTTTGGCGCGGCGTCAATTCTTGACCGGTATCCAAGCGTGCGGAGGCACAAAGATGCATCACTCGGCGTGCCAAGGAAGCTTTGATCACGCCGCGACACCGGCGACACTTGTTTTCGACGAGTTGTACCTTTTGATACGGCTTCACGCACATTGCACTCGCAAAACACATCCACACGGCGTCGATTCTTGGTCGGTATCCAAGCGTGCGAAGGCACAGAGGCACGGCACTTCGGCGTGCCAAGGAAGCTTTGAACACGCCGCCAGCCCTTCCTTTCGACGCGTTGTGCCTTTTTCCTGCGACACTGCACTTTCGTAAAATTTTCCACGTGTTCACGACGGCACGTCTCAACAATACACAGAGTCTTCAAAACACTTCTTCGGCGAATGACGACGAACGAGTAGAAAACGTGTCCACAGCACGCTGGAAAACCGCAGCAAAGGCTAGCAAAAACGGCAAATCGTATCCCAAGCGAGTGAAGTCCGGTGGCTTCACTTGCGGGAGCGGCAAGCGCGATCCAGCAATTGTCATTGAGATCAGTGGTTCCTACCACTTCGGTTAGCACCTGCGCTGGAAAGCCGGACGCTGTAAGCCTCTCAATTTGAGCATTAAAACTGCTTTTGATGGTGTGGAGGCATGACTTCTTTAGGGCTGAAGTAAGGCAGGAAAGAGCTATGCCTCTCTTTACGACTTTTGAGTGCGAGGACGTATAGTGCAGTAAACCTTTTTTAGAACGGGGTGAAAATGACCAGCACAGGTGGTTTGTTTGCAAAGATAGAGAAAGGTCTAGAAATTGCAACACACCTTCCTTAGGAGTTTCACAGGTAAAAATAAGTCCTGAACCGCACTTGTGGAATATGTCCATGATGCCACTAATTACATTATTGTCCAATGTCTTTTGGTACACTAGCAGAAAATCGTCTACATACCTAAACACGTGAAGAACTGGCATAGACGCTATGGCCGTCTTAATGGCGCGGTCGACCCCCGCAAGAAAAATATCACTTAGGACCGGTGCAACGCAAGAGCCTATACAGACTCCTGACTTTTGCAAAAATACCCCGTTTTGCCACCCAATGAATGTCGAATTAAGATAGAAATGTAGCAGCTCAAGAAAACTTTCTATAGGTACACCACTTGAGTTACGGAACGAGAGCTCACCGTGGGACTCAAGACAGGACTTAACAGAGGCAAGTAGATGTTCGTGGGGCAGCGAGTAAAAAAGATCTTGAACGTCCACGCTGAAAACACTGTGACTGGACAGTTCATTGGACCTTAGTACTTCAACGACGGCTTCGGAATTGCAGACTCTAAAGGGATCCGTAATCTTCACACCCGAAAGGTGCTTTTGAAGATAGGCCGACATCTGCCGTTGCCATGACCCTCTTTCGGTGACAATTGCTCGGAAAGGGCAGGCTTCCTTGTGTGTTTTGGCACTAAAGAAGACTTCAAGGTGTAGCCCTTCAGCTTTTTTGATGTTGCTTGCTAATTGGTTCAACGTGAAACGTTGACAAAGGGAGAGTGCCTGGCTCTTGGCCTTCTTCAGGACTATCTGCACTGGCCGGAAGTTCTTCTGAACCGCTGCGCATGCTTTTTCATTATACATGCCTTCGGGCAGTATCACAAAAGAGCCTTCTTTGTCCGCTTCCAAGACACGCTGCTGGTTGTCAACCAGAAAGTTAACAAGTTGTCTAGGATCTTGGGCATGAACTCCCCTTGAGCCAGATAGAGCATCAACACATTCGGAAACACATCTTGGTCTAACCTCTTCACTGGTTCTGTAGGCAACCTTCCTTGCCAGAGTAAGAAGCTCTGGTGGTCGCAGGTTCGGTTGAAGGCAAAACTTGGGACCCAGACCCAAGGTTGTTTCTAGGTTCTGGGGAACCGCTACATTTCCGAGGTTGGTAAATCGTCCTGCAGCTGACACAGATCTTTTCTTTTTTGGGAGGTTATGCCGAATTCTTTGCCACAAAAACTCGGTTACGTCAGCCAATGTCCTATTCATTTTCGAAAAGGAACGCCGTTGCCCCTCCAAATTGCCCTCGCGTGCACCACAGGCGACCCATAGGCAGTCTTTGAAGAATCGGGCCTGGCGCCAATACTCAGATCTTAAGATTCTGCAAATCCTTCTTGTGTGACCAACGGATGGTGTAAGGAAGCCACTCAGTCCTAGAAGTTCAACAGGACAGGTACCTTGTTTGATGTGCCAGGAGGCGGTTCGGGCGCTGCACACACATTGGGCGGCCAGGTTGACGAGAATGATAGGGTCTGTGTAGGGTTGATTGTAGTAGACAGAGGAAGAGCCCGATGCACAAGAAATAAACTGTAGTAAAGTGGTTAGTTGGGCGAGTTGGTAATGATTGAACATGGTTAAAATTGCGCACAAATAGAAAGGTACAGAGAAGAGGGAAGAGAGAAGAGACAAGCGCAAACTCACAACTCGATGTATTGATGGAAGAAAAAAGAACAGCCCTCGGTATCAGCTCGAGCCGAGGCCACACTCGCACGGGGGCACCCGAGCACGCGGAGGACACACACCATCAACCACATTCGAACGACTGTAGAAAGGCTATTTCCTTGTCGGTTAAAGCCACGGAAGGATGGCTGACACAACGCTCGCCTAAGCAGAGTACACTAAAGGCTTCAAAAATTTCGCGAGCGTGTTTTTCGGTGAATCTGCCAATTATCGAGGTCTTTTGTAAAGATGGTGTACACTTACACGCTTGACAATGCAGAGGTAGGTGACCCCCCACTGTTGAATTTAGAGAAAGATTGTGCTCCCTTAACCGGTCATTAATACACCTTCCCGTCTGTCCTACGTAGGATCTGCCACAGGAAAAACCAGTGTGGTTTATAGCATTCCCCTTTCCTGTGGCAGATCCTACGTAGGACAGACGGGACGGTGTATTAATGACCGGTTAAGGGAGCACAATCTTTCTCTAAATTCAACAGTGGGGGGTCACCTACCTCTGCATTGTCAAGCGTGTAAGTGTACACCATCTTTACAAAAGACCTCGATAATTGGCAGATTCACCGAAAAACACACTCGCGAAATTTTTGAAGCCTTTAGTATACTCCGCTTAGGCGAGCGTTGTGTCAGCCATCCTTCTGTGGCTTTAACCGACAAGGAAATAGCCTTTCTACAGTCGTTCGAATGTGGTTGATGGTGTGTGTCCTCCGCGTGCTCGGGTGCCCCCGTGCGAGTGTGGCCTCGGCTCGAGCTGATACCGAGGGCTGTTCTTTTCAATAACCGGGCTGATACCGGTTATTTCAGTAAAAGCGAATGAGGCAAAAAAAAAAAATTCAAATCACGTCCAAAGAACAGTTTACAACAAGAGAATATCAGATCTAAATCTCCATGAAAATACACAAGCACAAATGATGTTGAAAAGAACAAAATCAGTCACAGTTTCACAAAAGTTCCAGCCAAGTAAAAAGCCACGGCAGGAGCATGCACTACAAGTAGAACACATGCTGAGTGCATAACAAAGCAAATCACAGAATGAAAAAGAAAATAAATGACACGTAGAAGCACAATACACCATCAAAATGTTTTTTTTTTTAAACTTCACAAGTGTGCAGGTAGCTTTACTGACAGGTGCAGTCACTTTTACATATCATAAAATATTTCTAAAGCGCTTACAACTTCTAATTCTGGTACGGGTGCGGTAGACCTGAAGTCAATAAATTGTACAAACCACATGGAGTTAAACATCGAGCTACTTCATGAGACAGGTCTGCAGGTATCCTACTACAGATGCATACGAAAGATAAGGATACACGAGTGTGTTATATGCTGCACGTTTGTCTCGCCTGGTAAGCTGAAGAATCCATCGGCTTGTGCATTATGTCTGACACGAACTTGAAGTCCTGGAGATGCCAATAAAGTGTGCGTTCTGCAGGCAAAAGATACCCCAATTCCCCAGTACCACAATAAAACCATGGGAACCACAAAAAGGTGTATCTTATACGCGAGGAGTGCTCAAGCTTCGCCGCTGACTGCAGCGCTATCCCAGACCCTAGCGGGACGTTTTGGTACTATCGGATCGCGTGGTTTGGCATGTCTCGAGGGTTTTCGCTAGGCGTTTCGCTGCCATCTTCGTCGCTTCACTAGTTATTTACGCAGGAGGAATGGAGAAAAAGAAACGTAAGCCCGGCACACGATACTGTTGCGTGGTTGGTTGTAGCAAAAACCTCAGGGCACGGACTAGCAAGTCTCTGCACTTCTACCGTTCCCCTGGCAAAGCGTACGAGACCCAGCGACGAAAAGCTTGGATCGCGGCAGTGCGCCGACAGAAGTATGTACTTTATTAGTAGTGCATGGATTTTGGCTAATGCGCCGATAATGAAATGGGACGGAATTGCGTTTTTTTTTTCGACTATAGTGCGCGGCCTATGCATGTTTAAAAGTTGAAATTTCAACCGGTGCGGACTATCTGGCAACCGGGGACGTCATGCGATCCACGTGAAGTTTGTCTACAAAAGCCCGCCCGATCCGCCTCCCAGTTGGGGCACGACATTGCCGCTGGAACTGTCATGCAAACTTCCCGTCTGCTACAGGTTTTCCTGGCTGCTGCCCTTGCGGTGGCTCTACCCGCCAGCCCGCCACTCTACGACCACCGTGGAGACGAAACCACCTGAATTCACCCGCCGCCAGTCCGAGTGGCTTCCGATCAGCCGCTACCCTGCCCGCACTTCCTTCAGCTGACCCTGGCTCTCAACCACCTTAGGATCTGGCAACCGGGGACGTCATGTGATCCACGTGAAGATTGTCTACAGAAGCCGTCCCGATCCGCCTCCCAGTTGGGGCACGACATTGCCGCTGGAACTGTCATGCAAACTTCCCGTCTGCTACAGGTTAGTTATCTTAGCAACGCTGCTAACGCTCGTAACGGTTTCTGCTGTTTTATGGTGATGTCGTGCCCCTACGACTTGTCAGTGTACCGTAATAATATTTTGAGATGTTTATTCAATTGCGCATACCACGCAATGATCTCCCATCTTTTGCTTTTAATCTCGGGAGATATTGAGACTAACCCTGGCCCTAACTCCCCCGTAAACAATACCATTCTAAAAACGCTGACGCGTCTTGAAGCAGGCCAAGCAAATATGCTTGCTGCGATTACATCTTTGCAACGTGATCAGCGAGCGGCCGATGACAGGGCCATACTTCTTAACAATAGGATTACTAACATTGAGCATGACATCATGGCATTGAAGAGTGCATCAGCTCAGCCACAATCACCTAACAGCCCTCTGAATACCATCCCATCGGAACTTTCTAAATTAAAAGCGAGGTGCGACGACGCCGAGAACCGTCTCCGTCGATCAAACTTACTTTTTTTTGGTATACAGGATTCCCAGAGTGAAACGTGGGCGAAGTTCGAAGAAGTTGCTATTAATTTCTGCTTACATAGATTGGGCATCGAGCTGAACCCTTCCAACCTCGAAAGGTCCCATCGCTTAGGACGCTTCACAGAAAAGAAATCCCGCCCTATAATTGTCAAGTTGCTACGTTTTAAAGATAAGGAACCAATCTTGGCGGCCGGTCACAAACTAAAAAATACTACTTTTGCCGTCCGTGAAGACTTTTCTGAATCAGTTCGACTAGCGCGCGGCAAGATATACCAGTTTGCAGAGCCGCAAAACGTGCCCTTTAAAATCCGCTTTGATAAACTTCACATTCATAACAAGCGTTACATTTAAGATCCGATTAGTGACTGCATAAAGGAGCTTGAAGCATAACTAAATGGGAATAAAAAGAAACGCCTCCCGACACCAAGCAACTGTCGTATCAAATCTAAAAAATTGCAGTCTCATGTTGTTACTTTTACAAATGTTCGTAGTTTCCTGCCTAAGAAAGATGAAATATGCAGTCTTCTCGACGACTGCAACTCCGACATAGCTATATTTACGGAAACTTGGTTAAAACCGGACGTTAACGACTATGAGCTTTTTTATTCGAACATTAACTTTTCTGTACATCGCTGCGATCGGCCTCAGCAGCGTGGTGGTGGCGTCCTTGTGGCCATAAAAAAAGAAATGCCTTCATTTTACGTTCAACTATCTTGCAATCTCGAGCTATGTTGTGTTTGTCTTTCATCGCAGTTTAGCAAAACGCTTCTTGCAGTGTGCTATAGGCCCCCAGGTTTTGACTGTTCTTTTGTTAATAAACTACATACTGCCCTAAACGAAATCACGATACGATTTCCCAAAGCGAATCTTTTACTGTTCGGTGATTTCAACTTCCCTGAAATCAACTGGCAGTTACTCACATCTACGTCACGTGATTCCAAGCACTTTCTTGACGTTTGCATGTTGTTCAATCTTAGTCAAATGATCGACAAGCCTACCCGTGATGATAATATCCTTGATTTAGTCCTTGTATCATCGCCCGATCTTGTGCAATCTACTATTTACATGCCTGGTCTTAGCGACCATAGAATAATGAATATATTGATCACACTGCCTGTTCTAGTTAAATCCCCCATGTCTAAAGTCATACGCGATTTTAATAAAGCTGATTACGCTGGTATTAATGCTAAGCTCACCATCTTTTTTGACGTCTTTCTATCTTCTTTTTCGTCGCGGTCCGTAGAGGACAATTGGTTGTTATTTAAGCAAAAGGTTACTGACCTGATCAACTTACATGTTCCCTTGCTGCGGATTCGTGGAGATGTTGGGCAACCATGGTACAATAAAAAGCTGAAATCAACTGATTACAAAAAGAAGCGCCTTTTTCGAAAAGCGAAGGCTAGTGGTTCTCCTTCTGTGTGGACTAAGTATTTTCAGTGCCTAAAAGAGTACACTGCGTTAATTAAAACTTTCAAGAAGTATTTTCATCAGGACTTGCCCAACATTCTTCGAACCAACCCTACTAAATTTTGGAAAACGATTACACCCAATCCTAGTATGCAGTCTATTGAGCTAGTTGACAAGGACGGTGTCGTTGTGCCCGGCGAACTTGCCCCGTCAGTAATGAATGATTACTTTTCTTCCATCTTTACAACGGAGCCACCAGATAATATTCCCTCCCTCCCTCTACTTCCGTTTTCCCAAATGCCTCCGATCACTGTCACTGCATCTGGAATTTCTAATCTTATAGATAAACTAAAGGTATCTTCTGCCCCGGGACCTGATACAATTTGCTCGAAAATACTGAAGAATACGAGAGACATCTCCTGTTTATTTCTTCAGCTCATTTTTAACCAGTCATTGTCAGACGGCTACGTTCCAACGGACTGGAAGATTGGCCGCGTCATTCCTGTCTTCAAAAGCGGAGGTCGATCCCTTCCTGATAACTATCGTCCCATACCGCTCACATGCATTGCATCGAAGCTTTTAGAGCATATCATCCTCTCTAACGTTATGAATCACCTAACCTGTAATAACTTTTTTTTCCATAACCAGCATGGTTTTCGCCAGGGTTATTCCTGCGACACCCAACTTTTTGAATTTTCTCACGACCTGCACACTAACCTTGACTCGCTCTCTCAAACGGATGCCATCTTCATAGACTTTTCGAAAGCTTTCGATCGGGTTCCTCACCTACGCCTACTCGCAAAACTATCGCGACTCAATATTGATCCTTTAATCGTATCTTGGATTCGCAGCTTTCTCTCATCCAGAGTCCAATATACAGTCGTCAACACTTTAGAATCAAGCCTTACCGATGTTTTGTCTGGGGTCCCACAAGGCAGTGTCCTAGGTCCGCTTCTTTTCTTGATCTTTATTAACGACCTTCCAAATTCTATCACCTCTAACACGTTTATTTGCTGATGATTGTGTCATTTATCGCCAAATAAATTGCTCCTCCGATCACCTTCTTCTTCAGAAAGACCTCGACAATATAACCAAATGGTGTGATCAATGGCTAATGTTACTAAACCACTCTAAATGTAAGTTTGTCTGTTTTTCTCGAAAACATTCCCCATCTCTTTTCAAATATTCTCTAGGCTCATCAACAATTGAGTGTGTTCAATCGTACAAATACCTTAGCGTTCATTTTTCTTCCCCTATGTCTTGGACCCTCCACATTGACTCCATACATGCCGAAGCTTCCAGAACGCTTGGTTACATTCGACGTTGTCTGCACTCAGCCCCTCCAGCTTTGCGCCAGCTGGCCTACGAAACTTTTGTGCGTCCGAAGATTGAGTATGCTGCTGCCATTTGGTCCCCACACCAGATTTACCTCACTAACACCTTAGAATCAATTCAGAATCGTGCTGCCCGATTCATTCTTTCTAATTATGAACGCACTGCCAGTGTGTCGGCCATGAAGGCTTCCTTATGCCTCCCCACTCTCATTTCTCGCCGAAGAATATCACGCATCTGTCTTTTCCAGAAGATTTTTTATTACCACTCTCTACTCAGGCAGTCTCTACTGTTAGAACCGCATCGTTCATCCCGACGACTTTTTAACTCCCTTAGTGTACGTCGCATCCATGGTTCCACTGTCACCTTTAACAACACATTTCTTCTCCTTGCCATAATAGAGTGGAACAATCTACCGGACCGTGTAGTGCTCATCAGTGACCCCGACCTCTTCAGACATGCTGTATCGTCTATATTTAATATGTAATCAATGCGATGCTCCTACCTATGGCCAGTGCTCAACCACATCTTGTTTCTATGTTTTGTTTTTTTGTTTTTTTGTATAAAAGTTCTACTTGTGTGCTTCTTTGTATTGCCCCCCCCCCCTTATGTAATGCCCCTGGCGGGGCCTTTAAGGGATAATAAATGAAATGAAATGAAATAAAGGTGCGGATTATACAAGGTTTTGTATGTTTCTGGATCGTTCCCTGTGACAAGAAGCGAATGATTTTATAAAGGATAGAGTATATTAATAGTGATTTATGTATGATACAAGCTTCTTTGTGAGCTAATACACCAGGCATTTCTCAAGGTGTGTTGTGTATGATAATTTGTACGTTCGGATTACGCACTAAGTGCGGAATATGCGCCGCGTGCGGACTATCTAAGCAAAAACTTATTTTTGACCCCAAATTCTTTTTTGCGTATTATAATCCGGAAAACACGGTAGTATGACGGTCAGCATAAGAAATGTGGATATGCCAAGTGGGTTAAAGCACTGTGGCAATGCCGGCGTCACGAGAGTTTGCAATTTACGTGCTCGTATCGTAGCATTTATACAGTGACGCTACGCTACTCTGGCAAACATATTCCATCTGAGATATTTAAAAATGTGATGTCGACTTGACTTGGAAGCTAATAAAAGGTCGGCCTGATTTCCGGCTGGTCAGGCCAGAGCTCGGTCTCAGGTTATTTTATTTTCCAGCGAGGATGGCTCCAAGTGGTTGCCGTCCCCAGCGACGAGAATTTGGGTGCCCATTTTGTGGACAACTGTAAGAACGACGCTGAGGCAAACCCCTCGTACATCCCCACGATCTTCCCACCTGTCTACAAGAAAAAGGCGCCCAATGTGGAGAGGGCAACGAGGTGATAGTATTGTAGTCTAGCATATAGTGCAAGATGTGACCTGTTCAACCTTTCAGGAGGCTGAAACGATCCAGCCGCTGCCAACCCATGCCACCTTCAGTGGGGACGCCTCCTGACCCTGACACGGTTTCTGAGCCAGAGGCGACAACAGAGGCCGAGAGTTCCAATCGGGATTCCTTTACGACACTCCTCCACGCGGCAGCCCAAGCTATGCCTACGAAGTGCACGTCTACAGTGGTAATTGGAGGCAATTTATGGTGGGTGGGGGGGGGGGGGGGGCACACTGTGACTGCAAGTAATATCATTTAAAGGCCCCATTTCAAGGACTGTAAATGCAAGTTTTACCTCAGCATAGAGAATATTGCTTTGGACCTTCGTTTCTTACTTTTCAGTGCCTACCATCTTAAGTGCAGAGTATTCATACATTTGTTTGTGGCACAGGATGTAGAGTGCTACTTTAATTTCCGTGTTACTGTTTCTTAGGCGACGCAGATAGACACAACGGATCAACGCAGGTCACTCGCACAGGGCAGGTGGATGAGGTGATTTTAACAGAGGAATAATACATTTAATATTGTAGCGAAGCTGATGTCGCGGAAAAGAAGACACCGAAGAGAAGAAGACGGAGTGCTCGCGGGAGTTGGAAGCCTACGAGCAAAGCAAGCGGACGTCCATTAAATGAACAGCTTGCAAGCGGTAATCGTTACATTTGGTGTCAGAAATGGAGCTCCGTTCCGGCCGACGTTTTCCCCAAAACAACCCCAAGATTCTCGGACAAGCGAGCGCCGTTACTACTTACGCCATCTATCGGCCGCCGCTGCGCCGGCGCCCGTAACTCAATGGACCAAAGCGATCTTTTTTTATACAAAGAAAACTAATCACTCAATCCCTTTGCACTTTTGTGTCACGTTTTAATACGTTGCCCTCAACCTCCACGAGAGTTTTCGTGGTCCTGGGTTTATATTAAGTCTGGCCAAAATGCAACCAAACTTTTACTCATTGGTTCCTATGGCGAACCGCAGAAAAATCATAGTCTTTTCAAAATTCGATGCAAACCCTAAGAAAACCACACGATCAATTTAGTTGCATTTTTTTTATATATATAGCCAATATCTCTAGCTCCATGGAAACAGTTTTTATTTTCGAATTACTTAAATTTAAAGTGGTTCCCCAGGGCTTTAAATACCAAAAGGAATCCGCAGTTGGTGAGGAGACTCGAGGAGTCAGTGACGTTGTTGCGTTCCTAAATACATTTTTTTAGCAACATATGTAATGTATAACAAAAAGGCAACTAGCTGAATATTTTCTTAATTGATAAACACAAAACCTAAATGCAGGGTTTTTTTTGTTTTGTTCTTATCGCGTAATTAGCTCAAATACATTATACTTAAAGCGCTGAATAATTAAGGAGTCAAAGCGTTTTTTGATCCGAACTATCTTTTACAAAGTGTCCAAATTTCATTTCACCAGATATTCCACTTCCAAGAATGGTATTAAAAATAAAAATGCCAAAATGAGTGGGCGTGGTCCAGACACTTTGGCAAACGGGACATGAAGAGTACCATTTATGGCGACATTTAGCACGCTGTTACTGCTAATTAATCAATCTTATGTAGGTTTGCTTCGCGTGCGCCCAAGAGCTTTTGAAACGGCCCAGTATCTCTCAAGTCATCACAACCTCAGACGTCAAAATCAGGCAAAAAAGGGGTGTGTCCCAGAAATTTGGGCATACGCACCGTCCATTCTACCATCAATGGCGACACTCAGCAGTCTGTAATTCATTATAAGGAATCTCCTCTAGGTGTACGACGCGTATGCCCGAGTGCTTTTGAAGCGGCCCAGAATTTATTTAGTTATGGCTCTCCAAAGGTTGCCTCAGACGTCAAAATCGGCCAAAAAGGGGGCGTTCCCCACAAATTCGGGCATACGCGCCGTCAATTGTACCATCAATGGCGACACTCAGCAGTCTGTAATTCATTATAAGGAATCTCCTCTAGGTCTATGACACGTATGCCCGAGTGCTTTTGAATTGGCCCAGAATTTATTTAGTTATCGCTCTCCAAAGGTTGCCTCAGACGTCAAAATCGGCCAAAAAGGGGGCGTTCCCCACAAATTCGGGCACACGCGCCGTCAATTGTACCATCAATGGCGACACTCAGCAGTCTGTAATTCATTATAAGGAATCTCCTCTAGGTCTATGACGCGTATGCCCGAGTGCTCTTGAAGCGGCCCAGAATTTATTTAGTTATCGCTCTCCAAAGGTTGCCTCAGACGTCAAAATCGGCCAAAAAGGGGGCGTTTCCCACAAATTCGGGCATACGCGCCGTCAATTGTACCATCAATGGCGACACTCAGCAGTCTGTAATTCATTATAAGGAATCTCCTCTAGGTCTATGACGCGTATGCCCGACTGCTTTTGAAGCGGCCCAGAATTTATTTAGTTATGGCTCTCCAAAGGTTGCCTCAGAAGTCAAAATCGGCCAAAAAGGGGGCGTTCCCCACAAATTCGGGCATACGCGCCGTCAATTGTACCATCAATGGCGACACTCAGCAGTCTGTAATTCATTATAAGAAATCTCCTCTAGGTCTATGACGCGTATGCCCGAGTGCTTTTGAAGCGGCCCAGAATTTATTTAGTTATCGCTCTCCAAAGGTTGCCTCAGACGTCAAAATCGGCCAAAAAGGGGCGTTCCCCACAAATTCGGGCATACGCGCCGTCAATTGTACCATCAATGGCGACACTCAGCAGTCTGTAATTCATTATAAGGAATCTCCTCTAGGTCTATGACGCGTATTCCCGAGTGCTTTTGAAGCGGCCCGGAATTTATTTAGTTATCGCTCTCCAAAGGTTGCCTCAGACGTCAAAATCGGCCAAAAAAGGGGCGTTCCCCACAAATTCGGGCATACGCACCGTCCATTCTACCATCATGTGCGACACTCAGCAGTCTGTAATTCAGTATAAGGAATCTCCTTTAGGTCTATGACGCGTATGCCCGAGTGCTTTGGAAGCGGCCAAGAATTTATTTAGTTATCGCTCTCCAAAGGTTGCCTCAGACGTCAAAATCGGCCAAAAAGGGGGCGTTTCCCACAAATTCGGGCATACGCGCCGTCAATTGTACCATCAATGGCGACACTCAGCAGTCTGTAATTCATTATAAGGAATCTCCTCGAGGTCTATGACGCGTATGCCCGAGTGCTTTTGAAGCGGCCCAGAATTTATTTAGTTATCGCTCTCCAAAGGTTGCCTCAGACGTCAAAATCGGCCAAAAAGGGGGCGTTCCCCACAAATTCGGGCATACGCGCCGTCAATTGTACCATCAATGGCGACACTCAGCAGTCTGTAATTCATTATAAGGAATCTCCTCTAGGTCTATGACGCGTATGCCCGAGTGCTTTTGAAGCGGCCAAGCATTTATTTAGTTATCGCTCTCCAAAGGTTGCCTCAGACGTCAAAATCGGCCAAAAAGGGGGCGCTTCCCACAAATTCGGGCATATGCGCCGTCAATTGCACCATCAATGGCGACACTCAGCAGTCTGTAATTCATTATAAAGAATCTCCTCTAGGTCTATGACGCGTATGCCCGAGTGCTTTTGAAGCGGCCCAGAATTTATTTAGTTATCGTTCTCCAAAGGTTGCCTCAGACGTCAAAAAAGGCCAAAAAGGGGGCGTTTCCCACAAATTCGGGCATACGCGCCGTCAATTGTACCATCAATGGCGACACTTAGCAGTCTGTAATTCATTATAAAGAATCTCCTCTAGGTCTATGACGCATATGCCCGAGTGCTCTCGATGCGGCCCAGGATTTATTTAGTTATCGCTCTCCAAAGGTTGCCTCAGACGTCAAAATCGGCCAAAAAGGGGGCGTTTCCCACAAATTCGGGCATACGCGCCGTCAATTGTACCATTAATGGCGACACTCAGCAGTCTGTAATTGATTATAAAGAATCTCCTCTAGGTGTATGACGCGTATGCCCGAGTGCTTTTGAAGCGGCCCAGAATTTATTTAGTTATCGCTCCCCAAAGGTTGCCTCAGACGTCAAAATCGGCCAAAAAGGGGGCGTTTCCCACAAATTCGAGCATACGCGCCGTCAATTGTATCATTAATGGCGACACTCAGCAGTCTGTAATTCATTATAAAGAATCTCCTCTAGGTGTATGACGCGTATGCCCGAGTGCTTTTGAAGCGGCCCAGAATTTATTTAGTTATCGCTCTCCGAAGGTTGCCTCAGACGTCAAAATCGGCCAAAAAAGGGGCGTTTCCCACAAATCTGGGCATACGCGCCGTCAATAGTACCATCAATGGCGATACTCAGCAATCTATAATTCATTATAAGGAATCTCCTCTAGGTCTATGACGCGTATGCCCGAGTGCTTTTGAAGCGGCCAGGAATTTATTCAGTTATTGCTCTCCAAAGGTAGCCTCAGACGTCAAAAATGGCCAAAAAGGGGGCGTTTCCCACAAATTCGGGCATACGCGCCGTCAATTGTACCATCAATGGCGACACTCAGCAGTCTGTAATTCATTATAAGGAATCTCCTCTAGGTCTATGACGCGTATGCCCGAGTGCTTTTGAAGCGGCCAAGAATTTATTTAGTTATCGCTCTCCAAAGGTTGGCTCAGACGTCAAAATCGGCCAAAAAGGGGGCGTTTCCCACAAACTCAGGCATACGCGCCGTCAATTGTACCATCAATGGCGACACTCAGCAGCCTGTAATTCATTATAAGGAATCTCCTCTAGGTGTATGGCGTGTATGCCCGAGTGCTTTTGAAGCGGCCTAGAATTTATTTAGTTATCGCTCTCCAAAGGTTGCCTCAGACGTCAAAATCGGCCAAAAAAGGGGCGTTTCCCACAAATTTGGGCATACGCGCCGTCAATTGTACCATCAATGGCGATACTCAGCAGTCTATAATTCATTATAAGGAATCTCCCGTACGTCTATGACGCATATGCCCGAGTGCTTTTGAAGCGGCCAAGAATTTATTTAGTTATCGCTCTCCAAAGGTTGCCTCAGACGTCAAAATCGGCCAAAAAAGGGGCGTTTCCCACAAATTTGGGCATACGCGCCGTCAATTGTACCATCAATGGCGGCACTCAGCAGTCTGTAATTCATTATAAGGAATCTCCTCTAGGTCTATGACGCGTATGCCCGAGTGCTTTTGAAGCGGCCCAGAATTTATTTAGTTATCGCTCTCCAAAGGTTGCCTCAGACGTCAAAATCGGCCAAAAAGGGGGCG